ACATCACAGGCCACATCTTCAGGTCCAGCATAGCAGTGATCAGCTGGAGCAGCTTGGAGTCCAGTCTTCTTCAGCTGCTCCACTAAAGCTGCTAACATGGTGTTTTTCTCCAGGACAGGCCTCGGTGTGAAAGTCTTCCTACACTGAGGGCAGCTGTGGATTCCCTTCCTGTCCTCTTCATCAAAGTGGGTTTGAATACAGTTCCTGCAGTAGCTGTGTCCACAGGTTGTAGTCACCGGATCCTTCAGGAAATCCAAACAGATGGAACAACATATATTTTCTCCATCCAGCTGAACTCCTTTCTGTGCCATTTCTCCTCTCAGTATCAGTGACTGAGTGACTTTCTCTACCTTATAACTGAAACTAGTCTGAGCTTTGATCGCAACAAGTGAATGGAGTCTGTCAGCTCTTACACGTCATACGTCGGTTACACCCATCTTCAAACTGTGGATCTAAAGGCGAGGGAACAAAGATATACATTTAGTCTGGAGCTGCTGTGTGTTAAGAATAACAGGGAGGAGTTATCAGCCTTTCACTTATTCCAGGAAGAATAATGATTGGAAGTGGACTGTGTGTAACCTGAAAAACAAATTAAAGTTCAGTTTGAAGATGGTAAAATATTATACTTGGTGCCACAGTTATGAAAATTATCTTCTGTAATACAGACAGTTTGAACAAATATTTTTGAACATCACTATTTTCTTTAACAATCAGCAAAAAAATGGAAACAAAAATGTTATTATCTGAAGGGAACAGAAAAGTGACATTAATGAGACAACAACAGACTTACTCTAATCACCCAGACAGATTCACTGACTATTATCAAGTCCTGAGTAGAGAGAGTCTGACTGGACGTTGTTACTGGGAGGTGGAGTGGAGAGGGAGAGAAGTTGAAGTAGCAGCTAAACAAGGAATATTAGGGAACTAGTTTGGGTACAATGACAAATCATGGGCACTACATTGTGACACAGACTGTTATGGAAAAATGTGTAACAATGTCCAAACTGTCCTCTCAGGTCCTCGGTCCTCCAGAGTAGGAGTGTACCTGGATCACAGAGCAGGTATTCTGTCTTTCTACAGCGTCTCTGAAACCATGACTCTCCTCCACAGAGTCCAGACCACATTCACTCAGCCACTCTATGCTGGAGTTGGGTTTTTTGATTCTGAAAACACTGTTCACTAAACTGAAATTGAAACAACTAATTGAAGGAGAATATGTTAAAATCTGTCTTATTTTCCAGTTTCTTTGGTCTTCTGATTGTTGCTGTTGGCTCACTGTTGTGCTGTTTCTTCTCGTCTGTCAGTGACATTCTATGGGTGCTACTCTGACATCTTTGTCTGTGTTGTCTAGATATTTCAGTGACTTTCTTGGGTGGTGCTCTATTCTTGGTTTCTTTAGCCATGGAGGCTCAGACTGTACATGAAAATTTTTATTTAGCTACACTTGTGTTTGTACACATGCAATTTAAACTTATCTATCATCAGAATTTAAGATTTTTTAGACTTTGTTGATTTCACGTTTGAAGAATCTGAAGCTTCACATAATAAATAAAACTACTTATTGTGTAATTTATGCGTAACTGTGTCAATATTATAGTGCCTTTTATTACTAAAATAGATGCAGGGTTGTTAACATTGTGGATCTACTCTTAACCAACATCTGCATCAGCATTTTTTAACAATTAATTTTAGGTGGTTATTTCAATTTTATAAAATTTGTATGTTATACAGTTTTACAAAATACAAATGACATTTTTTTTAAATTAAATTTGTAGTTACTGTAGAAAACAAAATTGCATAACTTGTGTGACCCACTTTATGGGCTTACACTTTAGGAATCACTGATGTAGAATTTGAAATTTGATGGTCATGACAGTGAAAATTGCAACTACATGTTTACTCTGACCTGTGTGGTCACTAGATAGTGATGTTTGATTGTGTTTGTCCATGTAAATGCTGTAATATCACTTCCTGAACTCACTCAGCATCATGTGGATTTAATTCCTTTTGTTATTGAAATATTAAATTTAAAACTTTGTAGTGTTAAAATTTTACCTTATTATTGATTCTTGGTTGAAGGTGTGCTATTATGACCACCCACTGGTTCCAGATAAATGACTCCATCTATTCAGAATTTAGTTATTATGGTTTTCCTCCACTAGATTATTACAAACAATTCAAATATCCATATTACTAATGCTTGTTTATTTTAGTCAACATCTGCTGCGAGATCGATCAACTTTAGACCAGACAACAAACGACGGAGGCTCCGGAAAAGTGCAATCAAACGATGAGTTTTATTATCACAGGAGAACAACCAACTGTCAGCATACGGATTGTTTTGCTCTGACAAGAATACAATGGGTTCTGGTTTTATAGGATAAAATATCACACCTACGTCAATACAGTTCA